AAAAAAATCGGATTTGGGTCACTTCAGGCTGCCGTCTGAACGTAGCCTTTGTTCAACTCAAGCTTTGTTGCGTCCATAATTAGTTTTAAATGATCTTATTTTGCAGAGTTGACTTTTTTGTGTCCTTGAACCAAGTTATGATGTTGTGCACTCATCAAAAACAAACGTGAATATGTGTTTTGTTTCGTTCAGTCAATCAATCAAACTTTATTTCTATAGCACCTTCCAACGACCGAAACAAAAAACCAATAAACATCATACAGACAAAGCAACAAAGCACATTACACCATTCAAATAAAGAAAGTGTCACAGGGCCAATAAGTGTTAATAGCCGTTCTAAATAAGTAGGTTTTAAGTTTGGTTTTGAACAGAGGCAGGTCAGGGATGGACCGTAACTCAACGGGTGAAGAGTTCCAGAGTTTTGGACCGACCACTGCAAAAGAATGATCACCCCACAGTTTGACCGGGGGACCCAGCAGATCGTAGAGCTCTGCTGGGTTGGTGAGGGGTCAAAATCTCACACAGGTAAGAAGGTGCAAGACCGTTGAGTGCATTAAAAACAAACATCAAAATTTTAAAATGAGTTCTGAACTGGACAGGGAGCCAGGGCGAGGAGTACAGGACAGGGGTGATGTGATCGTGTTTCCGACTGTTTCATTCACATTTCATTTTGAGGGAAAGGATATCCTAGTCAGGCCAGCGCCACCTAGTGCCTTCGCTGAGTTTCATTTCTCTCCAGCGACTACATCAGGAATCAGAATACACTAGATCAAAGGTGCTCAATACGTCGATCGTGATCTACCAGTCGATCGCCAAGGTCGTGTGGGTAGATCGCCGTGTCTCGTCTCAGACTCGATCGCGTTTGGACTCGGTCTTGTCTCTCACTCGAGGTGTGACACTCAACAAGTGTGATCATATTTCATTCCGGCTGCTGCTGTTGGTAATAAACTTGTAGCGGGTGCAGGAGCGTGTGGGGCGTCTCAGTGCAGCCTGTGCGCTCATTTGAAACCCGCGGAGACTCTACGGCGCATCACAAACACACACGCTCCCTATGCACGGCTCGTCTGCGACAGCGTGTGCCCTCGTGTACCAGCGTGCATCACAGGGCAGGTTCAACTTCCTAAACATCCTACCTGTCCATCTGCCTCACGTCAGCACGCCGCCCCTCGCCTTTTCACGCTCTCGCTCCTTCCTGCGTACAGCCAACACAAGCCCCTCCCACAGTGCGGCTGATTAGAAGAACAAGACCAAACGTGAAGCAAAAACCAGTCTAAATTTGTGTTAGTGTTGGCACAAAGCAGGTCTACAGCATAGAGCGGATCTACAGAACAGACCTACTGCCACATTTGGCTGAAGTTTGTCTAACAAAAGTGACAAATGCATCTGTGTTTGTCACGATGTGCGTTTGGTTTGGTAAACGTGCAGAGGCTGGTAAATATCACTGAAACCAGAAAAGAATGTAACTCCAGTTTGGAACTTTAAAAAACAGGTTTAAAAATCTTCCTTCACTTTTTTCACAGTTTTGTGTAAAGTGCCAGAGGAAGTTCTCTTAAAGAAGAGGTTCTCAAACTGTGGGGGAGGGTCCAAAAAAGGGGCACAGAGTGTTTCAGTGCAGTTTGTTTGGCTTTGTATTAGGTCGATCATTTTGACTTGGTCATTTTGTAAGTAGCTCACATGATGAAAAAGTGTGAACTCTGGTCTAGACGGTTCGCAAAAACCCCAGAAGTGCGAGTTTGTATTTTCTCACCTGGCAAGAAAATACATTTTTGGGTCCGACTGACCTGCCCCAAGACAGCGGGAAGGAAAAAAAAAATTTCTTGGGGTCTGTGTGACGTCGAGGAGAGCGTGAGGGTCAAGTTAAATTAAGAAAGTGTCATCATGATTTGAGTCAATTTCACTTGACAAGTAAAATGATCTGCCAGTGGAACAAGAGACCTTTTTGTAATTAAAATATGAAAATACATCTTGCCATTTTCAATTTCCGTGACTTTTCCAGGATTTCCATGACCATGGGAATCCTGCCAGTATCACATCACTAATCATATTTAAGCGATAAAATAGGTCTAAACCAAACCAGGTCTAAACCAGGTCTAAACCAAGTCTAAACCAGGTCTAAACCAGGTCTAAACAAAAACAGGTCTAAACCAGGTCTAAAAACAGGTCTAAACCAGGTCTAAAATCAGGACTAAACCAGGACTAAAACAGGATTTAGCCAAGACTAAAACAGGACTAAAACAGGTCTAAAACCAGGACTAAACCAGGACTAAAAAAGGACTAAAAACAGGTCTAAAATCAGAAAAAAAAACAGGTCTAAACCAGGTCTAAAACCAGGTCTAAAACTGGATTTAGCCAGGACCAAACTCGGTCTAAAACAGGTCTAAAACCAGAATTAAATCAGGACTAAACCAGTCTAAAAACAGGTCTAAAATCAGGACTAAACCAGGACTAAAACAGGATTTAGCCAGGACCAAACCAGGTCTAAAACAGGTCTAAAATCAGGTCTAAACCAGGTCTAAACCAGGTCTAAAATCAGGACCAAACCAGGTCTAAAACCGGGACTAAGCCAGGTCTAAAACCAGGTCTAAACCAGGTCTAAAAACGGTCGATCAGCGGAGGAATGAAATTGTGTTTATGTTTTCAGCCGTGGTTCCCGTTGCAGACAGCAGGGGGAGCTCCACACTGCACTAGAAATAGAAATGAAGTTTTTTAAAGTTGTGAAAATGTCAAAAAAAACAACAACAAAAATAAATAAATAACAGTGTAAAAGAAAAAGAAAAAAACCTGAAGCCACGTGGATGTTTTCCGTGTGTCTGGGTGATTGTGTCTCGTTTAGTTCACGTGTAATTTTACTCCACAACTTTAATCGTCTTTTATGAAGTAACCGAGACTTTTAATTTCCTCTAATCACCGTCAATCCTTCTTTTCTTTTTCTTTTTCTTCTCTCTCTCTCAATTTCTCTCCTCCTCTCTCTCTCTCTCTTCTCTTTCGATCTTTCTCCCTGCTTCTCTTCTTTCTTTTTCTTCTCTTCCTCTCTTATTTTTTACATATTTCTCTACCTCTGTACTTTTTCTTCGTTCTTTCCCTCCCTCTTTTTCTTCTCTTTCTTGCTGTCTCTCTCCATCTCTTTTTCTCTTACCACTTTTTTCTTCTCTCCGTCTCTCTTATTTATTTCTTCTCGCTCTCTGTTTCTCTCTTCTCTTTGTCTCTCCCTTATTTCTCTGTCTCTCCCTCTCTTGTTCACTCTCTCCCTCCCTCCCTCCCTCTCTCCTTTCTTCCTTATCTCTTTCTCTCTCTCTCTCCCTCAAATCTTTCTCTTTCTCTCCTTCCTCTCTCTCCTCTCTTCCTTCCACTCCCTCCCTTCCTCTCTCTGTCTCTTCCCTCCCTCATGTCACTCTCCTTTCGCGCTCTCTCCCTTCTTCTCTCTCCCCCTCCCTTTCTTCCTCATCTCTTCCTCGTCTCTCTCTTCTCCCTCCCTCCCTTTTACTCTCCCCCATTTCTCTTTCATCCTCATCTCTCTCCTCCCTCCCTCATCTCTTTCTCTCTTCCTTCTCTCTCCCTCTCTTGCTCCCCCTTTCATCCTCAACTCTTCCTCTCTCTCTCTCTCTCTCTCTCCTCATCCCTCTCTATTTCTCTCTCTCCCCCCTCCCTTTCTTCCTCATCTCTCTCTACTCCCTCCCTCGTTCTCTCCCTCTCTCATCTCTCATCTCTCCCCCTTTCATCGTCAAATCTCCCTCTGTCTCTCCCTCCTTCCCACTCTTCCTCATCTCTCTCTCCTCCCTCCCTTGTTCTCCCTCCCTGATCTCTCTCTCCCTCCTCTTCTCTTCTCTCTCTCTTCTCTTCTCTCTCTCCTCTTCTCTTCTCTTTCTCTCTCTCTCTCTCTCTCTCTCTCTCTCTCTCTCTCTCTCTCTCTCTCTCTCTCTCTCCTCTCTCTCTCTCTCTCTCTCTCTCTCTCTCTTCTCTCTCTTCTCTCTCTCTCTCTCTCTCTCTCTCTCTCTCTCTCTCTCTCTCTCTCTCTCTCTCTCTCTCTCTCTCTCTCTCTCTCTCTCTCTCTCTCTTCTCTCTCTCTCCTCTTCTCTCTCTCTCTCTCTCCTCTTCTCTCTCTCTCTCTCTCTCTCTCTCTCTTCTCTCTCTCTCTCTCTCTCTCTCTCTCTCTCTCTCTCTCTCTCTCTCTCTCTCTCTCTCTCTCTCTCTCTCTCTCTCTCTCTCTCTCTCTCTCTCTCTCTCTCTTCTCTCTCTTTCTCTCTGTCCTTCTCTTTTCTCTCCTCTCCCTCCCTCTCTCGTTCTCTCTTCTCTCTCTCCCTTTCTCTTTCTTCTCTCTCCTCTCTCTCTCTCTCTCTCTCTCTCTCTCTCTTCTCTCCTCTCCTCTCCTCTTCTCTCTCTTTCTCTCTCTCTCTCTCCCTCTCTTTTCTCTCCTCTCCCTCCCTCCCTCTCTCGTTCTCCCTCTCTTCCTCCCTCTCTCGTTCTCTCTCCCTCCCTCCCTCTCTCATCTCCCTCTCTTCCTCCCTCTCTCGTTCTCCTCTCTCTTCTCTCCCTCTCTTCTCTCTCCTCCTCCCTCTCCTCATCTCCCTCTCTTCCTCCCTCTCTCGTTCTCTCTCTCTTCCTCCCTCTCTCGTTCTCTCTCCCTCCCTCCCTCTCTCGTTCTCTCTCTCTCCTCTCTTCTCTCTCTCTCCCTCCCTCCCTCTCTCGTTCTCTCTCTCTTCCTCCCTCTCTCGTTCTCTCTCTCTCCCTCCCTCTCTCGTTCTCTCTCTCTCTCTCCTCCTCTCTCTCTCTCTTCTCTCCCTCTCTCGTTCTCCTCTCTCTCCTCCTCTTCTCTCGTTCTCTCTCTCTCCTCTCTCCTCTCTCTCTCTCTCTCTCTCCTCCCTCTCTCGTTCTCTCTCTCTCCCTCCCTCTCTCGTTCTCTCTCTCTTCCTCCCTCTCTCGTTCTCTCTCTCTTCCTCCCTCTCTCGTTCTCTCTCTCTTCCTCCCTCTCTCATCTCTCTCTTTCTTTCTGTGGGTTTCAGAAAACGGTGTTGTGACTCGTCTCGTTGCCGAGGAGACGATCGACTTCAACCTGCCCCTGACCACCACGTACATGAAGCGCATGAGGCTGAACTACACCGGCCACGGCAACAAGGTAACGTCCCGCACTGCTGCTTTAACGGCCCCGCGGTCACCTGCCGTCACCTGGCGTCACCGCGGCGACCGGGTGCAGACGCTTCAGATTCCTCTTTTTCTTCTCTCACTTTTGCGTTTACTGATCTTGAACAGATTTGACGTGTCACACGGAGCTCAAAAATCTGTCAGAATGTTTTGGTACGACTTTAGTAAAACACAAAGCCGCAACGTTTGATGGACTGTTGGACGGCGACTGTGGTCAGGAGCAAAGAGGAGTAAAGAGCCAGGACTGAACCAAGACTGAACCAGGACTAAACCAGGACTAAACCAGGACTAAACCAGGACTGAACCAGACTGAACCAGGACTGAAAACCAGGACTGAACCAGGACTGAACCAGGACTGAACCAGGAGACTGAACCAGGACTAAACCAGGACTAAACCAGGACTGAACCAGGACTGAACCAGGACTGACCAGGACTGAACCAGGACTGAACCAGGACTGAACCAAGGACTGAACCAGGACTGAACCAGGACTAACCAGGACTGAACCAGGACTGAACCAGGACTGAACCAGACTGAACCAGGACTGAACCAGACTGACTGAAACCAGGACTAAACCAGGACTGAACCAGGACTGAACCAGGAGACTGAACCAGGACTAAACCAGGACTGAAACCAGGACTAAACCACTGAACCAGGACTGGACTAAACCAGGACTGAACCAGGACTGAACCAAGACTGAACCAGGACTAAACCAGGACTGAACCAGGACTAAAACCAGGACTAAAACAGGACTAAACCAGGACTAAAAGAGGACTGAAAACCAGGACTGAACCAAGACTGAACCAGGACTGAAACCAAGACTGAACCAGGACTGAAACCAGGACTAAACCAGGACTAAACAGGACTTAAACCAAGTCTAAAACAGGACTGAAACCAGGAGTGAACCAGGACTGAAACAGAAACAGGATTAAACCAGGACTAAACAGGACTAAACCAGGTCTAAACCAGGTCTAAACCAGGACTAAAACAGGACTAAAACAGGACTAAAACAGGACTAAACCAGGACTAAACCAAGACTAAACCAGGTCTAAAAAAGGACTAAACCAGGACTGAAACAAGAGTAGACTGTCAGGTGGTCAGGACTGAGACCTGGACCAGACCAGGACTGAGACCAGGACAAGATCAGGACTGAAACCAGTTTACTCCTGGGTTAGTCCTTGTTCAGTCCTGGTTCAGTCCTTGGTTCAGTCTTGCTTCAGTCCTGGTTCAGTCCTGGTTCAGTCCTGGTTTAGTCCTGGTTTAGTCCTGGTTTAGTCCATTTTTCCATTTTTCATTTAAACACAAAATCGAAAACTGAAAAAAAAACCAACAAATCATTATCTATTTTTTTACTTTCGGTTTTGGAGACAAATAACGCTTTCACACTTTTATTTTATTTTTATTAGATTTTATTTATTATTATTATTTTTTTTTTTTTCACCCGATAAGAAGCGTGTCTCCGCAGCAGCAGGTGTGCGGCGGTAACAGGCGCGTGGGCGGAAAGACGGAGCGCAGGTGAAATAAAAAAGAACGAACGCCCACGCGCCGCCTCGCCAAACAATTAAAGCGCCGTAACGAGACGGTTAAAAAGTAAATCAGATCCTCGCGGGGCGTTGGGCGTGGACCGGCGGAGGGGAGGACGCGAGGTGATTATCGTCGCGCAGAGAAAAAAGAGGCCGACGGAAAAGTGACAATTATGGAAATGTGAAAATTATACAACAGAAGGACGGAGAGCGAAGAGCGAGCGGTTTATATCGACGGACTCGGCTCGCGCGCGGCCGCCGGGGTTTAAATTGGAGGTTTCGCTTCTGGTTTCGTCGACTCTGAGTCCGGTTCTTTTGAAAAACGTCCCTGTGGACCCGGGACGGTCCCAGGTTTGAGTTTTTTCCCAGCAGATTTATACAAAACCACTGATTTATCCAAGTTTTATACAAGAAATGTCCCTGTTTTTGATCAATTTGATATAAACCAGGACTAAACCAGAACTGAACCAGGACTATACCAGGTCTAAAACTGGACTAAACCAGAACTGAACCCAGCAGGACTATACCAGGTCTAAAACAGGACTAAACAGAACTGAACCAGGACTAAACTGGACTAAAACTGGACTAAACCAGGACTGAACCAGGACTAAACCAGGACTAAACCAGAAAATAAACAGGACTAAACCAGGACTAAACCAGGACTGAACCAGGACTAAACAGGACTGAAACAGGACTGAACCAGGACTAAACAGGACTAAACCAGGACTGAACCAGGACTAACCAGGACTAAACCAGGACTGAACCAGGACTAAAACCAGGACTAACCAGGACTAAACCAGGACTAAAACCAGGACTAAACCAGGACTGAACCAGGACTAAACCAGGACTAACCAGGACTAAACCAGGACTGAATCAGGACTGAACCAGGACTAAAACTGGACTGAACCAGGACTGAACCAGGACTGAACCAGGACTAAACCAGGACTAAAACTGGACTAAACAGGACTAAAACCAGGACTAAAACTGAACCAGGACTAAACCAGGACTAAACTGGACAAACCAGGACTGAACCAGGACTAAAACCGGACTAACCAGGACTAAACCAGGACTAAACCAGGACAGGACTAACCAGGACTAAACAGGACTGAACCAGGACTAAACCAGGACTAAACCAGGACTAAACCAGGACTAACCAGGACTAAACCAGACTAAACCAGGACTAACCAGGACTAAACCAGGACTGAAACCAGGACTAAACCAGGACTAAACCAGGACTAAACCAGGACTAAACCAGGACTAAACCAGGACTGAACCAGGACTAACCAGGACTAAACCAGAGACTAAACCAGACTAAACCAGGACTGAACCAGGACTGAACCAGGACTAAACCAGGACTAAAACCAGGACTAAACCAGGACTAAACCAGTAACCAGGACTAAACCAGGACTAAACCAGGAGACTGAACCAGGACTAACCAGGACTAAACCCAGGACTGAACCAGGACTGAACCAGGACTAAACCAGCTAACTAAACCAGGACTAAACCAGGACTGAACAGGACTGAACCAGGACTAAACCAGGACTAAAACCAGGACTGAACCAGGACTAAACCAGGACTAAACCAGGACTGAACCAGGACTAAAACTGGACTGAACCAGGACTAAACCAGGACTGAACCAGGACTAAACCAGGACTAAACAGGACTAACCAGACTAACCAGGACTAACCAGGACTAAACCAGCAGGACTATACCAGGTCTAAAACAGGACTAAACTAGGACTGAACCAGGACTAAACCAGGACTAAACCAGAACCAGGACCAGGACTAAACCAGGACTGAACCAGACTGAAACCAGGACTAAACCAGGACTGAACCAGGACTAAAAACAGAACGAAACAGGGACTGAACCAGGACTAAACCAGGACTAAAACTGGACTAAACCAGGACTAAACCAGGACTGAACAGGACTGAACCAGAACTGAAACAGGACTGAACCAGGACTAAACCAGGACTAAAACAGGACTAAAACAGGACTGAACCAGGACTAACCAGGACTAACCAGAACTGAACCAAGACTAAACTAAGACTAACCCGGACTAAACCAGGACTATCACAATTTTTGACTCATCTGATTCCCACCAACAGTAAAGAGGAGCGTAAATTGTCACTTGTTTGTCCAAAACCGTGACCATAAAGCAAAAAAAAAAAAAAAAAAAAGCGATGTCAGAAGCCCTTCACAAGGTTTCACGCTCTTTTCACGATTTTATTTATTTACCAACTGAAATAAAAATGAATTATTGATGTTAAAATATTTCTTCAAACTCAATTATCTTGTATTTTGATGTTTGTTTACGTTCCATTTTGTGGTTTGGATTAGTTTTTAACACCTCCTTGTCTAAACCCAGAAGTTTTCTCCGGTAAAACTCCTTCCACCGTAGCTCAGCTCTTAACGCGGCGTCTGAGTCCTGATAATTACAGATTTATTTATTTATTTAGAGTTATTTTAGTGACGCTCTGATAATTCCTCGTCGAGAATGAACGGAGCGAGAAGTGTGAATCCTCCGAACAAACCGGCGAAGGTGTGAAAAGGCCTCATTAACGGAGAAAAAAATTAAAGGTGTCGGGAACGTGCGAAGGTACAGATTAACAGAACGCAAACGCCGCAACGAATGCAAATGCGACGACACGACAAAAAGCCACAACACACCAGAAAAAAGCCACAACGGAAATGACCGCGGGACTCGATTTTAACGAAAACGCCGCAACAAATACAAACGCCACAACACGAAACGCAAAATGCCGCAACACGTTAAAAAGCCACAATACATCAAAAAGCCACAACACATTAAAAAGCCACAACACACCAGAAAAAAGCCACAACGGAAATGACCGCGGGACTCGATTTTAACGAAAACGCCGCAACAAATACAAACGCCACAACACGAACGCAAATGCTGCAACACATTAAAAAGCCACAATACATCAAAAAGCCACAACACATTAAAAAGCCACAACACACCAGAAAAAAGCCACAACGGAAATGACCGCGGGACTCGATTTTAACGCAAACGCCGCAACAAATACAAACGCCGCAACACGAACGCAAATGCCGCAACACATTTAAAAAGCCACAATACATCAAAAAGCCACAACACATTAAAAAGCCACAACACACCAGAAAAAAGCCACAACGGAAATGACCGCGGGACTCGATTTTAACGAAAACGCCGCAACAAATACAAACGCCACAACACAAACGCAAATGCTGCACAACACATTAAAAAGCCACAATACATCAAAAAGCCACACATAAAACATTAAAAAGCCACAACACACACACCAAAAAAAAAGCCACAACGGAAATGACCGCGGACTCGATTTTAACGCACAAACGCCGCAACAAATACAAAACGCCACAACACAAACGCAAATGCCACAACACATTAAAAAGCCACAATACCATCAAAAAGCCACAACACATTAAAAAAGCCAC